TGGCTTAAGATATTATATCAAATAGATTCTAAGAGAAAAAAACAGTGAAAAGAACATTTTCTGTCCCCTAGCAGAGGGTCAGCCAATTAATCACTGTTATTGTTGACTAAGTCATTTTTTCTTGACAGCTGTGCCCTTCAAAATGACATCAGGGGAAACTGAATCCATTTGCATTACTTCAGCTGGCCAAATCTCTGCAGAAAGTTGAAACTAGTTCTGAAAAAAAACAACCAGGCAAACAGGGACATCAGTGAACTCGGAATGACAGAATAAATGGGCTATTCTGAGTACTCAGCAAAGTGCATTTACTGCTCTGTATTTACTGTTTTTCAAAAAAATCTTAAGATTATTGTTTGTTGGATTTGTTGAGAAGCAATGAAGTCTCCTGCAATTTTATTTTTAAATATCATTTTACTACCCAACAGCAATAGTAAATCCATAAAATAACACGATTGACCAGGACTATGGAGTAAAAAAAAATATTGTTTGCTTTGTACATTCTTATTAGTCTTGGCTAAGATGTTATAAAAGCAGTATCTTTTAACACCTTTTATTATACAAGGGTCAAGGGGTTTTTATGTTTCTTAAAGAAAGCTTCAAATAGCCCACATAGCGGGTTCCTGCATCTTTCATATGGCTGCTGTATAAACAAGCCCATTTTACACAGGAAATGACATAACCATGTAAAAGTGTACACGGAGTTTAGGCACATATTCAAACACTAATGGGAATGCATTGTTTTCAATGGCATACTTTTATGTTTACCTATTGAGCTTAGTGCCCATATTTTAGCCAAATACAACAAAAATTATCCACACATACCTGTCTTATAGTGTACTGTTTATTTGAAATTTGGACCTTCACAAAGACTCTCGTGGGACAGATAATGACCCTAAAAAGTAAATACAAATGAGGCATTCTCAGTGAGAGAGTGAAACCTGCCATCATAAAGGTGGAAAGCTAAACTTTTAACCTGTATTGCTTTACAGCTCAGGTTTCTGCCATCCAGTTGCTCACACCAGCTCACCCATGGGAAGAAAGCCGTAACAATAATTTAGGGTGTCTATCTTTGCACATTATATAATGACCTGGCTGAAGAAAGTAGTGCCAAACTCCTGGAGTCACAGAATCACAGAATCACTCAGGTTGGAAAAGACTTCCACTGAACCACATCAGCAAATGTCACATCTGCTTGTTTGCTGAACTTCCAGGGATGGGTGTCTCCACCACTTCCTTGGCCAGGGTCAGGTTCCCTGTTTCTCTCCAGTTTCTGTGCTGAGTGTCAACTCCAGGGTGTGCCTGATTCCTAAACCCCTGGGTTTGGAGGGGAATGAAGATTGAATGAACCCTGCCTGGGTCTTTCTTTTGTGCTCATCCATGCCATTCATGTGCCTGGAGAAGTTTCAAGGCCTGTTTCTGCCCACGTGCCAGGTAACTGGAACTGAGACTGCCAGGCAAGGCCTTGACAAGATTGGCAACAATTTGTGAGAAGACAGAAGTTTGTGCCGGGGGATTCCAATGCCTCCAGCAATGCACCAATAAAGCACCTATAGGCTACTACACATTTACACCATGGGCAAAGTCAGTAGAGCTTTCCAGAACAAAATAGTGTAGAACTGCAATTTCCAGACTTATCAGCCAATTTCACAATGTAAATGCAAAAGGATACTCTGGACATGACAATATTGGTTTATAGCTAATGGTATCAACCAAGAATGCTCAAATTTAGACCTAAAAGTAAAAAAAACCCCTACCTTATTCCTATGCCCATGATTATAAACTCCTCACTTTGAGCTGAACCAAACTTGAGCAGCACCAGAGCTGTCCCTTCTGGATGTCACCACATTTGAGAGACCAGCCAAACAAACTGAATGTCATGTTACCTCCTAACCCAGACACTTGGGCTTAAACTCCTTCTGTTTTGGCCAAAGCCATTTTTGAAGCAGTAACAATCCATAATGACTCCAGCATTTTACTGTCTGTACCTTCAAATTTGTTTAAACCGACATTACAGACCTACTGATGGTTTGGTTTTTTTTATTTTCCTTTCTAGGTATAACTCCTACCAAGCAGAATGTAGGCTTTTGAATGATTACCAAAAGGGTGTTTGTTAAGACTTTAGTTTGACAGTATTTCTTTTCATTTTTCCTCAGATCATACTGTTTGCTTTGGGATAATTGCAAAACCATGGCATATTTTTCCATTTAGACGCTGATACATACTCAATTTAAATACCACTTACCTGAGCTTTTATTTTGCTTTATTCATGCATTGGAAAACTCGCACAAGGATGGCAAGAAAGAACCTCAGAGAGGTTTATACCTATTAGGTTTTAGAAACTTTCTATTGTGACCAGCCTCACCAGGACTCTCAGGCTGGTCACCAGCTCTGCAGTGTGAACTGAACAGGAATTTTCCTCCTCAGATTTCCAAACCATCATGCCTCATGTGTAACACTAGTGCTCCCATCCAGCACAGTTGTTGCAGCACTTGATGAATCCAGGTGTACTGAAGCAAACTGCCCCGTGCAGGCAGTCCTAATCCCAGGAGTTAACTTGTCTTAGCTTAGATTTGCTTCAAGTGTATTTAAATAGGCAGTATTTGCTATTTTAAACTGATCACCCTTAGCCATTGAGGAACGTGCCTGTGTGGTTAGTATCTGGCATGGCACAGCTGTGTCTCAAAGGTCAGAGCAGAGATTTCCTTGGGAATGTGCAAACAGCATTCCCAGAGAGTGGGAGCAGCACTTGCCTAAGGAAGAAAGGAGACAACCCTTTGTCATGGCCATTGAGCAAACCTCTCCAGGAGACAGCAGGAGCCAGTGCTAGAGAAAGCTGTAAACACACCTGAGAACAGCCAGGAGCTAGAAAAGAACTGCTTGAACAGATCAGGAAAAAAAAAAAAAAAGCCTGAGCTGCCCTCCTGGCTTTGGACTTGGCAGGGGAATGTTTTCCCTCCTACTGTAGCAACAGTAAAAATCAGCAGTATTTAAATCAGGTTTTAGTAAAGCTTAGACTTGTAGTTTTGAAAGACTGGCTGGTGAAGGCAGGTAGTGCTGGGGCCAGTAATGTTGTGCCTGGCCTCAGGCTCCGTGAGGATGAGGAAGAGCAGGACCTGGGAAGGGACACTGAGAGTCCTGAACGGAGAAGGGGAATCCTGCAGACAACCCTGGCCCACTAAAAAGACCCATAAAACACCCGAATTTCTCACACACTCGGTACAAAGGAGCTTCAAGTGCTCCTCATTCATGTGCCTGCTGCCCTGCTGGGCATTCACCATCTGGGCAGGGGCAGCTTTCTGGTCCCCGGGTTTGCAGCAGGTGGGCAGTGCCTGCAGGCAGCAAAAGCAGGCAGTGTCAGTCTCTGCAGGCAGGAATGATGGCACTGAGCAAATCCCACAGACCAAATCTCCCTGCAGGGCTGTTCTGCATCCCTGAGCTGCAGGTGAGGGCACAGGGCAGGTCCCCTGCACTGGGGTTCCCCAGGTGTCTGGCTGCTTATCCAGGTAGATTAAACTGGTTAAAGGCTGAGCTGCCCAGAGAGTGCAGGAGGAAGTGCAGAGTTTTATGTCACTGTTTATGGCCATTGATCAGGAATTTAGGATGCTTTGCTGCTGGTGTGAGCTGGAGCATGTCCAGACTGGGGTACTGAGCAGAAGGGCCTTGGGGACTGTACTCAGCTCCCTGCCTCCACCACACCAGTGATGCTGTGCAGAGCCAGGAAATCTTATGACTCTATGGTCTAAGAAATATCAAACCTTAGCATTTACATTTTGTACTACGGATAAACTCCTTCAGTAATTTCTGTTGGTTCATAGGACCTTTCTGATCCATCTGTAGTTGAACATTTGGTACCTAGTTTTTGGGTGGAAATATACAGGGGCAATCCCATTTATAATCCATGTCTGTAATAGATAAAGGGGATATACAAGCACACAGCCCTTGGAGGCTGGAATAAATGGATACCAAAGCTCTTTTGCAATCATCTGCATAACTCATTTTTGCTCCAAATATATCAAGTCACAGTGTCATTCCCCACCAGATCAAACCAGGCCTTCCTTTCAGATCTTTCTTTCCATGTTTCCACAGTTTCCCTCTGTGGCAGCAAAATACACAGACATGTTTTACGTACCCCTGGTATTCTGCAGCATGGAAAAGCCCCTTTCACTTGTATTTATTGTACAAAAACATAAAACAATTTCTTAATTGTGTTATAATTATGCAGAGTTGGACAGCTAGGCACAATGCAGCACTGTGTCAATAATTTATTACATCTTATGCCATAATTGAACACTTTTACTAGGAGCACTTGAGAACAACTTGGACCTTATACAGAATAATATATTTTGCTACATAATAATGGAAAGGTGGATACTTAAGAAAGATGTGTAGCTTGGAGGAAAACATACATGGAAGCAAATACCTCCTGCATCACCTATCTTTATGTAAAACTTAAAACTAAGCCAACATATTATATTTAATGACCCCTTTTTATATATGCATAGTTTCAAGAGCTAATCAGAAGGAAATCATATTACAGTGCAACTATTTACACCAAGATGGGGGCACACCAGAACACAACAACTCTTGTCAACATTGGGACTCTTTTCTCACATCTATGAATGGACAAAGCACATGGGAATCAGACAGAAATTCATTCTCAAGAACAATGCTCAAGGAACAAACAGGTCATATCCACAGCTCACTGATATCATCTCCATCCACTGCCTCGAGGCTAAAAGCAGGAGATCTCAAGGTGTCCAGGTATCATCTTCTCTGTCATGGACTTCACTCAGAGTCAGTCCTGTGTTGCCAGTGGCACAGGGCCTTAAATCCAGCTGTGTGACAGCATCCAAATGCATCTGCAATATGTCCATGGAGACACACAGAAACACTGGATTTATTGCTACATCCTTGTAAACACACTTACCCTAGGGGTAAGAAATATAGTTAACCTTGTTTGAAAAGTTATGTCCAATGTTTCAAACTACCTTTCACAACAGATTCACATGAGCAGCTGTTCTGCTACCTGCAGCCACAGGACTCCACCACCATGTCCTCGTACTGCTTGTAGACCACGTTGTTTGCAGAGTCAATGAAAAGGATGCTGATGGGGCTCAGCCGGGTTGGGACGCAGCAAGTCGGGGGCGTGGACTCGGGGTCCATGGAGTTCATTAAAGTCTGGATAACCGCGTGGTTGGTGGGCTCCAGGTGGGAGCGGAGCGGGAATTCACAGAGCCCTTCGCAGTGATAGGCCTCATACTCCAGGGGGGCAATTATCCAGTCATCCCAGCCCATATCCTTAAAATTCACGTGGAGGGCTTTTCTGCTGCACCTCGCCTTCAGATTCTTGGTGGGCCTCTTGCCTTGCCGTGTTGCTAGAGGAGCTCTTCTCTTCCTCCTCTGGTTGAACAAGTACTCATAAACAGTTTTGTCATCTTGGCCGGATCTAGCTTTGATTTCATTGAAAAATAAGTCTCTTTTTTTCGTCCTCCCAAACACCAAGAACAGAGCCTTTTCATTGACCTGTCTTCCTGTTCTATTAAATCCCACACTCCTGAGATCAACAGCTCTCCCCCTGTCAAAAGTTTCCAGTTCAAAACACAAGTTAACCAAGTTTTTAAAGTTTCTGAAAAGTTTCCAGATGTCAAACACTTCCCACTTGGGTGTATCGGTGATGCTGACAGTCCGAGAGTCCAAGAGTGTTGAGGCTTGTCTGTTTGTAGAGCAACTAAATAATTTTACTTGGGAAGTTTTTCCAGAAGAATGAGACTTCCAGGTATCAGAAGGTTTTTTTCTCAATATTCGAAGCTCTGCTCCCAGCAAACCATCTTTTTCTAATGCACTGATGTCAAAAATATATTTTTGTTTTCTTATAGTTGGTGCTCGCTCATCTAAAAAAAACACACAGATTTTTAAATGTATATCAAGCACCGAGCAATATCACTTATTCAGTTCTTAATGGTTTTCCTCAAATTTGCTTATAAGCCTCGAAGTTAGCCCACTGAACAGAAAGAGCAATTTTTGTCTAAGGGATCAGCCCCATGCAGGGACTCAGAAGAACTCAGGGACTCACCAGAGAAATTAATTTCTGAGTCTGCCTTGTAGAAATCTTCTTTCTACTACCAATGGGCATTTTCTACCTTCGAAGTTGTGGTTAGCCAGTTGAAAAATAATACTATTTCAGGGCTGAGCATTCACAGGACCTATTTACCATTTATATTCTACTTAAATTACTGAAAGAGAGCTTCAGGCCTTATGCTGGCTCCAAACGAGCAAATTTACCTTTAGATGATGCAATAGTAAATCAGTCCTTTAAAACCAGCCTCCCCAGGAACTGCCAGACATAAGGATAATTGCCTAATTAACTAAACCTCAGATAATTCACAATTTTTCAAAGTGGGCAGAAAAAAATTCCTCTCTTTATCCTGCCTTTATATTCACTTGCTTCAGGTGGTGAAGAATATGGCTGAGCCATATTCATTCCAGTGAGGTGACATTACCAGAGCCTTCCAGGGGCAAGCTGGGAACCTGAAGGCAGCCCTTGTGAGCAGTGCATCCTCCCTTCCCAGCAGCCAAGCCATTAATGAAGGGATGGCAAACAAATCCAGTCCTGGTGAGTCTTTCATCACGATTCCTTCACCAGCTGTGTTGCTTCCTTGAGAACATGACAAAACTCTTACAAATGTCACTGGAAGCAAGAAGGGGCTCCTAAAGCTGGGGAGGTGAACATCATTCATTGGGAGGCTGGTCATTTCTCCTGTGGAAGCAGACACTAGCCCAAATTTCCAGAAGTGTTTGGAACAGGAATGTTAAGCTGCAGGTTCTGGATCCTGGATGTTATTACCCTTGGTAGCCTGTGCTGAGCTGCGGGCTCTGTGGTGCTGCCTGAATGTTTTAAGGTAGTACAGATACACCCCCCCACAGGATAATGACCCCTGGGTCTGCAGTGTAGTTCCTCACAATTCTACCTTGAACAAACCAGACCGGGTTATTTTTTAATCACAGAATAGCTCTGTTCTTAGCATATTGTATGCTTTTAGGCACACTACAATCTAACATTAGCTGTTTCCATGATCTAGTTTCCAGCTAGCTAGAAAGAAAATAAGACAAAAATCCAAAAGGTTTTTAAACACCTAAGCATGCAAAGACTGATTGATTTTCAACAATATGCATCTAAAATACTTCCTAAATGTTTTCTTTGGCTGCCACACAACCATCTAGTTCTGCCTGTAAATGAGTTTTCCAAGATAAGTCAGGAGGACAAAATCTGCAGCAAAGTTGTGTGATTTCATTTACATTAAAAAGAGCTCTTTGACTTTTCCAAAGCATGATTATTTTCCAATACTCTCTGCATTTACAAGCACACTCAGACATCTCTCTCTGTCCACACTCACTCACACACAAGCTCCTTTCTTACCTTGTCCTTTGTCTATAAAGCTGGTTATTGTATTGGCAAGTCCAGCCTCCAGTTTTACACTTCCATTAACACCCTTTCTTTCTGCATCTGAGAGAGTCCTGTACAAAGAGAGCATGTATTCATGTGGCGTTATCGGGGGATGTCGGAAAGTTTCCTTAGCTTCCCTCTGGGTTACAGGCTCTTTAGTCTTTTTGGTTTTGAGAGAATCACTGTCAGTACTGCTTGTGCCAGTTTTTTTCAAAGCCACCTTGCTGCTAAGATTTTGAACCTTTGGAGTGACTGTCCTTACTCCAGAAGGTCTGCTGGGGAGATGTCCTACCTTGCCCTCCGTGGCTGCTGTTCTCGAGGGAACCTTCTTTGAGTCATCGTTCTTGGCCAGCAGAGCTCCAGCCTGAACAGCACTGCTTTTAGTCCTGGCCTTTGAGGTCCCAGCATTGTATCCATGGCTTGCAGTCCTCAATGTACCTGCCCGTGCAGAGGGATTCCTCTCCTTTCCTTCTGCTTTCAAAAAACCTAGTTTAGATCCTGGATTACCCTGGCCTGCTTCAGAATTACTCAGCGCTCCAGGAACTAGATCCAGAGACAGCCAAGTCAAATGCCAAAGCAGTAAAGTGAGAAAATGCAGGATTTTCATCCTCTGGTCTTCCTCTGAATGCCACTAAAGAAAAACTCAGAAAAGGTTCCTCCAGTTTGGCAGAAGAAAACATGAAAGAAATTAAAAACCAAAGTTAGCAAAATTGGTTTTCGTTTGAGATTAAAACATTTCAGATATCGTTGTTCAATACTTGTATCCAGTCCCATAGTGGAAATGCTCATGTACTCAGATATGATCTCCCCTGACTTCAGTTAGCAGCTATAAAGAAGTTGTTCTTGAAAAGAGAAAGTTTACCACCTCGTTTTCTTCTGTAAAACTGACTGAAAACTTGAAGGAGTCTTGTTTAAATCCAAGGGTTTTTTTTTTTTTTTCCAAGAAGGAAGAATGGCGTAATGCTGCCTCTGTGTTAAAAGGTTTTTTTAAAGTTTTGAGTTTTGAATCCTTTCCAGTGAAAATATTTCACACACAGAGGCCTGCAGGTGCTCAGAAATCTTTTACAAACCTGAACTCTGGAATTGGAAACGGAATTCCAACAAACCTATTTAATTACTCTCTGATGTCATGCTGTCTAAACTAATTTAACTGCGATATATTTCTTAAAAAAAAATCTTCTTTACCCTTTTCATTAGCATGAGTCATACTCTGCCTCATGTGAAACAGCTCCACAGGCTCAAAACTCCAGAGGATGCCTTTTCAAGTGGCAGTATGACCTCTGCCTCAGCCCTCGATGAACTTCACGTTTAGACAGGACAAACTGCAAGATCAACAACTGAGAGCTGTCACACAGTCCGCTGGACACATACATAAACTAATTTAGAAATAACTCATGTAGCTCTTTTTCCAGAGAACTTCTAACAGTGCCTTCACTCCGTCCCCCTGTGACTGAAGGGCTGCGCTGTAACGCAGGCGCTTAACGAGGGTAACATTTAATTTTACACAAACTCAACAGGGCCGTGCCCGCAGTCAGTGTATTTTGGCTTATTTATTGCCGTGCTTTAAAAGCCCCGTGTCAGCGCAGCTGGAGCAGCAGCTCCGGCCGCAGGGGATGCCCCGGGGGCGCGGTGCGGCGGGGCAGCAGTGCACCCTGCAGGCAGCCATCCTCCTCCTCCTCCTCCTTCTGCAGGGCCACGCGGGAGCTGGAGATAGCCCTAACCCCGTCTTTCCTCCCGAGACTGCTGAACACCAGCCTTTGTTTAATTTTAGATGCAAAATGCCCGAGAGCTGCTGACCCCGGCGCCCCAAGAAGGCTGCGGGTCAAAACCAGCGCTGCTCGCTGTCCGGGCTGTCCTGCAGCTTTCAGCCGAGTGTGTCTTTGATAACCTGCACAAAATGAACTGTTGTTCTAAAGGAGCCTTCGGGAAAGGAGGCACTGGGCTGGATTCAGCAGGGATTACTGGGACCCATCTCTCATCTTGCACTGATGCTAAGCCCAGTCCTTCTGCAATTGCTTTTCTTTCTGAGTTAAGATGAAAGGGAAAAGGGACAGCACCTTTTAGCTTGTTCTGTGTGTGCTGTAGCATTCCCCACCCACCCTGACCAGTAACAGAAGCAGTGAACTGCTTTCATAAATAACAACCTGCATGACATGAGGAGCTCTGAATGCTTCTTCACTTGTTTTCATGGAGGAACTGAAGGATAGAAGAATCCAGTGATTTTACAGATGTCACAAATAAGGTAGATTCAAATAATGATCTCCTGATTTTGATCTAATGGCCCTTACTCTGATGTCAGTTGTACTTTTGATATTTCCCTACAAAATAAAGCAGATCTCCTGGGAGTTACCTCTGGTGAAACCATTCCCCAGCAGTCACTCCACACCATCCCAAGGCCCTCCCAGCCACTTTATCCCTCCCATATTGCCCACCTTTCTGCTGGGTGGTGTGCTGTGTCTGGTTCTGCACCGTGGGGGTATTGATCAGCTTGCCAGTAAGCCAGAAAAGCATCTAAATGCTGAATTTCCACTTTTAATCTATCCAGCTTCCCGTTTTCACATTGCTTGCAAGAATTTAATATCTTTAAAAGGTCGTTTGCACTATCAAACTTGGCTGAGATTTGGAAACAGATTTACAAATTACTTAAGAGATGGGACGTGAAAGAGCAGGAGGTTGGACAGTATGATTACATGGGTCTTGTCTTAGTAAATCAAATTAAAGCATGATCATTGATATGTTCAAAGAATATTTACATCTGAGATTAAAAAATCTTAGTGGGCTGGACAGAGCTAGACAGAAAGAAAAAGGATGAGCAAGCAAAACAAGGTGTGCAAGCTAATCTCTCTTTTTAAAAGAGGCTCTCTTGAAGCAAACACCATCCCAGTGCTTGGAACCACGGGAGCACGGATGCTGTGGAGTGCACAGATGCTGTGGAGTGCACTGAGCCCCACAGACCCCACAGTGCAATGCTGGCCCTGAACAAGACCCACAGACTGGGGGGCTCCTATGATCCCTGCACCAAAGTGGAGTCATTCCAGCTGGCTGAACTCAAACTCCACTGCAGGAGTTCAGGGTGTAGCTGGAAACCCTCCTGCTGGTGAGGCTCTGGATACACAGGGCACGGTGGCAGTGGTGCTCCAAGCCTCCCAGTGCTCACCACCAGCCACATTTCTGTGCCCTCCCCTCGAGTGGCCGGGTTCGTGTAGCCCACCTGTCCTCCCCAGCCTGTTCTGTGACAGCAGCTCCTCCCTCACACGCTCTAGGATTTGAAAAGGGAGGAGCACCTGTGTCCCTGCTCCCTGAAGTGCCCTGCCTCCTGCTCTCCAGATCCTGACATTATATAATGCCTACGTGAGCTGTCATGCCTTCTCAGACAATCTCAGCCCTTCTGGATGTCCAGCATGGTCTAGAACAAGGAATCACTCTGGGGAGCCAGAGGAAGATTTCACAGTGTTGAAAACGCTGCCATTCCCTGGGGATGAACAGCTCCACTGGATATGTGATGCCAAGAGTTAGAATTTGCTCTCTGGTGCAAACTTACAGTTGAAGCTGCACATGGAAGTCTGTAGAGTGATCTGTCAGGAAATTCATTGTTCTTTCCCAGGTGCACTAATTTCCAGAAAGGCCTTACAAGAAGATTGAGTTAACTCCATGTATTAGGCCACTTGCTGTCACATTGTTTTGCTTATTGAAACTAATCATCATTCTATTTCTGTGAGGATTTAGACCTCTGCACCATAGCTTTTCGGCAACTGCTTTTTAAAAGTGTGAAATTATAATTTAGGAAGGAACTTAACAGCTCTGTACTTTTCAGAAGGAAATAATTGCACAAAACCTACAGATGTTAAAATTAAAACTTGCTTGTCTTGGGCACGAGCAAAACAAATGTAATGATGTTTCCACTTCCATGTGAAGGTGGCATAATTTAAAACAATGTTGTGCTGTTAAATAAAAAGTTGGAAGTCCAAAGAAATAATTCTGTTATTGGTTATCAATAAACTTGGCTACATCTGCAAACAGTAGTGAACTAGAAAGCACAGAATCATAGAAACATGGAATATCCTGAATGGGAGTGTTATTTTTGTTTCTTGATTCCACAGATGTACCTAATTTCCCCAACTCTGAATTAAGTGGACATTTTTTTTCTTATTTTGGGTACCTCTGCCTGTTACCAGTTAGAGAAATTCAGGGTTTGTTTCAAGCTTCTTCAAGCTTATTCACTAACAGAGTCCCTGCATTTGGTATACAATGTTAATTAGCCTGAGTTGTCTTTTATAGGTATTGTTCATCTTTGCAATGGAAGCATATTTAAATGATTCAAGACTTGAGAGAGAGATCCCGAGATCCCGAATTACTTTGCTGACCAAAGACAATTTTGGTGGCAATTCATTTATTCCACGTCTTAAAACAAGAACAAAACAAAACCAGAATGTCAGTGATGAAGCATTCACTGTCACGGGAAAAAGCAGGGATTGAAAACAAGCCAGCATCATTCAGCAGCCAAATACAAAATGAAACATATTTTTAGCAATGGGTTTAACTTAATGTGAAAAATGCGTGTATTTTATGATTGGCTTTTTGCAAATATTAAAATGAATATTATATGTGTTGTGTTAGAAAGTAATGCTGTCTTAATTCTCTTAAGTAGTGTGTTAAATACAGGTTTAGGTTATAAAAAATGTTAAAATAGAAACTATGCTATGTAGGATACTTTTTTTGAATAAAGACTTGTAGCAAAATAGCAGCCACAGGATACCTAAACCTTTCAGAGATAAAGAATTTATTGCTCTCTTATCAGAAGAAATGAACTTCTTCCCGCCTCGAAGGCGCTGTTAGGATTCAGAGGAAGAAGCTGACACTGCCCAGACAGAATCCTCTGTTTGAATGGAATTTATGCATCATGTATGAGGAGTATGAATATGCAACAGGATGTTGCTTTTAAGGGTTAATCCTCTGTTAACGGGGGTCCTTTTTCGGGCTCGTTCTGCCCAGAAAAAGGTACCTAGACGTCCGTAACTCTTTGTCTCTATTGTCTCATATAGTCCTAATTCAATTTGTCCAAATTATTATTACTCTAATTGTATTACTATTTTTATAACCATTTTATTACTATTAAACTTTTAAAATTTTAAAACCAAGTGATTGGCGTTTTTCACACTTAACTAACTCCCAGAACAATTCACTATGGAATGCGGAGGGTTCACTTTCACTCTATTTTCTGATTATATTCCCCGCCGCAG